TTGTGTCTATTTGTTTGTGACTCCCTGGGCCCCGTCAAAAACTCCAGCGCGGTTGCTGTCCGAGTGGCTGGAGTCAAGTCGGGCCTGTCCCTCTACAGGAGGAATCTTCAAAAATAGTAGAACAATATTCTAGAGACGACCTTTGGAGTGTTTTTGGGGTATGCCTTGCGCATGCTGTGATTATTTCCTGCGTTTCGTCCAACACCCGAGGACGCGCCCGACCTGAGGCTGGAGGTCCCGATGGCATCTGACCAGCAGGAAGGCAGGTCCTCGGGCCCGCCCCGAGACCTGTCCCGTGGCCCGGCCTTCGACCCGCCCCCGGCCGTGGCCACGCGGAGGGCACCCAAAAGGCCAGAAAACAACCAAACATAAAAAAACACGAGGTGTAAGTCGGACGTGTCCCTCTGCAGGAGGAATCTTCAAAAATGACCTAAAGAATAGTCTGGGGGGATTTTTGATTTCTTTCATGTTTGCACATTTCCTTCGAAATCCGCCTGTAGGGGGACATGCCCGACCTAGCACGAGTTCTGAAAGAGCGCGGTCTGCGGACGTTGCGAGGGGGGGGGTTCGAACCGGGGGGGCCCTCTGAATTGCAAGGGGGTGGGCGGGGGGGTTCGAACCAGAGCGGGGCCCAGGTTGCAGGGGTGTTCGAGCCGGGGGGCTCCCCCTGGATCGCCGCCGTCGTCGCCGGCATCGAGTAGGAGATCGGCTACAGAATTAATGTACCCCAGAATCGATTGTTCCGTCGGATCTGCGACAGGTCTGTTGAAAGCCTGCACGTTCACGAGCCTCCCCGTGCTTCGTCGTGGACTCGACGGGAACACCGCACTCCTGGACGCCCGCCCACTCTGCAGCCGATCTCCTGCCCGAGGCACCGGCCGGCGGCGGCGTCACCGTCGGCGCCCTCGCCGGGATCCGACCGCCGCTTGGCCGCCTGCACACGCCGGCCGCATGGCGCTCGCGTTTGCCGCCGCCCCCGCCGCCGCCGGCCCCGCCGCGGCCGCGCCGCGCCTGCGGGCGGGGCGCCCCGCGGCGCCCGAGGCGGCGGGCTCGCTCGCGGGCATCCCGGCCACGGCGGGGCGGGGCGGCCGCACTCTCCGGGGGAGAAAACACACACAGGCACAAGTGCTCATCGATTCCCGAGAGGATCTGGGAGAACATGGGAAGTGGGTGTCCGGTAAGGGCCCCCGGAGGCCAAAAAGAGGGAAAGACCTACCGTCGTGATTGTTTTTCGCAACGCGATGGGGGTCTGGGACACGTACGCAGGGGCCGCAGGGGCTCCCATCGCCTGCCTGTTCGGTGAGGTCCCCTGCACGCGTACTAGGAGGCTGGACACATAGGACTCCTCCTCCTCCTCCTCCTCCTCCCTCCTCCTCCTCCTCCTCCTCCTCCTCCTCTTCCTCCTCCTCCTCCTCCTCCTCCTCCTCATTCCCACATGAGCGACGGAAGTAAACGGGATCGATTGCGCCAACGCTCGTGCGCGAGCTCGACGGGGTAAGGTCGCGCGCGGGCGCCTTCGTCTCCAGTGCGGCCTGCGGCGCTGGCGGCCCGCGCAAACCATCTCGCGAGGTCGCTGTGCCATCTCGCGTAAGACCCGTTCGTTCCCGTCGCCCACGTGTTCCAAACTTCCTCGTCCCCCTTTTCCTCCCCCATCTCTGATTAATTCAAGCTTCGCGCGGCCCGCTTAGCTTCGACCAGAAGAGGTGCGCTCTCGACACGCGGATCAAAAAAGTGTTCCAAACTTCCTGGTACAGTCAACCCGCATGGGAAGGATGGGCAACTTTCCCAAGGGTGCCCTTGCATCCCTTGCCTCCTCGGCCCATCCTTGGCCGCTTTCGCTGGCCGCGCCCCGCTCGCAAAGAGTCGACATGGCCTTCCAAGGCCCTTGCATCCTTCTCGTGCGTCCTTATGATGCGGGTTGACTGCAGTCCTTGTCGTCAGAACGAACCCCTGGATAGGTCCTGAGGTGATCGGCGCTGAGGAAGGGAAAGCGAGGGAAGTTTCGGGCTGGAGGCTTGAGGTTTCCAGACGTTGCCGTCGGTTCTCCGTGGTTTTCCAGCCTCGGTCTGCTCTCTAGCAGCTGCACCTCGCCGAGAGCGTTCCAGAGGGGGCCAGATCGTCCTGAAGGGCCGCCGGAGAGCCGAGCTGCGACCCGAAAACCCTTGCATCCTTTCCGCGCGTCTTATGAGACGGGCCGACTGTACCATGCACCCCCCACACACACACCGTCGGCATCCGCCCCTCCGCGCCTTCGGCGCCGCCCCTGGCGCGCTCCGCGCGTCAGGGAGGGGGACCCGGCGCGGATGCAAGAAGTCCGCGCGGAGCGCTGCAAGCTTATGTTCAGTCATGCCGTTGTTCCTTCTTCTGGTGAACCCAATCATGCGTGTTCCCAACTTCCTGGCACCATGCACACCTCGGGTTGACCCAACAGGGGGTCCAGCGACAAGGGGGTGGTGCAATAAACTTGGTGCAATACATTTGTGGGGTTGCAATACGTTGGGGGCGTGCAGCACATTCCGGGGCGCAAATGTATTGCTGGGTTTCCGTGTGCAACACATTATTTGCAACGCAATGCAATACAATTCTCTGGCGCAGTACATTTGCAATATAGTTGCCCCAAATCTATTGCACCACCCCCTTTCAGCTGGACCCCCTTGTCTCGGGGGTGGACAGACCTCCTAGTCACCCTCACACGTCGATTAGCGAATTGGCCGCCTTCTGTTCGCGAGAGGGCGTCGCGGCCGTCATTTCTGCGGGTCCGGGTCCGTCGGCTTCGGTCCCAGGCCGCTTTCATTAAGGGGAGATTTGCCACGGGGAGGTTTGTCCACCGCCGTTTTGAAGTCACCCAAGACACGCCCCCCCACCGTCCCGCACACCCATTTCGGCACACCTCTCACACGCTTCGTGGCTCCATGGGGAGCTCCACCGAAGGGCCCAGTGCCGCCGCCCGCATGCGTCCCGCACACCCAATTCGGCACACCCCTCACACGCTTCGTGGCCCCATAGGGATCGGCGCCCGCCCCCTCCGCGCCTCCCCCCCGAGGTGGGCCTGGCCGCGGCGGCCATCGCCGTGGGCTCCTCCGCCGTGACGTGCCGCGCGGCCGCGGCGAGCGGCGGGGAGGAGCCCATTCGGGGCGTCACGGCTTCTCTCCGGGGCCTCCCAGATTGACGCGGGCATGCCTTGCCCTTTTGCCTTCTGCGGGAGGAAGAGATTCAAAAACATAGCCCCCCCAAAATAGTCTGAGAACGATTTCTCGATTCTTTGTCTGCTGATTTATCGGACTCGGCGTTGATCTTGGGTCCAAAATCCGCTCCGCCCGCAGGAGGGCGCGCCCGACCTCATCTTAGATGGGATCCGAGCAGATGGGGTCGGGGGAGCGCGCTGCATCGCCGATGCATCGCCGATGCGGCTCCATGTGGAGCCCGTGCTTTCCCACTCCGACGTCGCCAATGCATCGCCGGTGCATCGGCGATGCGTTGGCGATGCGGCGAGATCCTCCGACCCCATCTACCAGGACCCCATCTAGGAGGCCTCTATTCTCTGCCATCGACCTGCAGGGATTAGGCCAGGCTTTGGTAGCATATTATGGAAGCCGTGCACAGTCAACGCGGATAGCAAAGATGAGCGTTTTCCAAGGTTGTGTTTGCATCCTTCCCTCTAGTCCACGTTCGCTGGCCACGCCCCTTCCGAAAAGTTTCGACATGGTCTTCAAAGGCCCTTCCATCCTCATCGTGCATCCTTATTATACGCGTTGACTGTATGTCCTCGACAATCCTCTTCCAGGGTGCATTAACGTGCGCTAGCGTCTGGCAATCGATGGGAAAGCGCCGATGTTGCGTCGATCAGCACCGAGTTCGCGTCGATCAGCGTCGATTTAGCATTGGTTATAGCGTCGACTCGTAAGAGCCAGCAGGATGGCATGGGAGGCCCCCATGAGTCGCCACATAGTCGGACAGATGAGGCAAATCCGGGCAAGCCTGTTCAAGTCCAAAGACGTCCCAGCAAATCCAGATATGTCTAGTGAAATTTGGATCAGGTCGTGCACGCTCCAGCGCGCGCCGAAGGAGAGCAGAAGCCGTGAAGCCCTTGACTTACGGGGGAACGACGAGGAAAAACTCAAGAGCAATCATCTCAACATTTCTCGCCCTCTCTTTTCGAAGCCCTTTCAGAGAGTAGGGGGCGACGGGGTGGTGGGTGACGAGGAGGAGGAGGAGGAGGAGGAGGAGGAGGAGGAGGAGGGGCAGGAGGAGGAGGGAGGAGGAGGAGGAGGAGGAGGCGGAGGAGGGGGAGGAGGAGGGGCAAGGAGGAGGAGGGAGCAGGAGGAGGAGGAGGAGGGAGCAGGAGGAGGAGGAAGAGGAGGGAGGAGGGCGGTAACGAGGAGGAGGGGGAGGACGGCGACGAAGAGGCTGAGCTCGCCACTTCTGCGGGGCGCTCGCCGCGTGCTTGGTGTTATGTTGCTCCCGGCGCACGTAAGGACCACATCCCAGAATTAATGTCGAGCGCCCGGAAATGTGTGGAAACGGTGTCGGACGAGTGCTTCCCAGGGCCCGACACGTGAAAACCGGTGAGTTTCGTGTTTTTGTTCGCGGGGCTCGAAATTCTTTGCTGCGGTCAAGGCAGGCTGGAACATCATACAGTCAAGACGCTGAAATATGGAACAGTTTGGGTTCGGAAGGGGCTCGATGTTCCTTTTAGGTTCCTCCAGGACTGTTCCTCTTGCCCTCCTGGGCACGGAGGCGCTTACAGGGTCAAGAAGGTTATTTTCCTTATTTAGGGGTATGATGTTCCAACCTACTTTAGCCTTGATCACCGGAAAGAATTTCGGGCACCTGAAGAAAGTGCCGAAGCTCGCGGGTTTTCTCGTGTCGGGCCCTGGGAGACACTGTTTCGACACCCTTTCGACACTCTTTCGACCCTCTTTCTGGGATGCGGTCCCTAAGTACGATGGGAGCAACATGAGTTTAGGGTTCCTTCTGTCAGCGGCACGACTGTAAGCCGAGGGGCCCGCTGGCCCCTTGCCCGGGGTCGGGCCGCATCGGCCCCTGGCTCGGGCCCGTTCTGGCCGCCTCCTCCCTCTTCCTCCTCCTCCCCCCCCTCCTCCTCCTCTCCTCCTCCTCCTCCTCCTCCTCCTCCCTCTCCTCCTTCCTCCTCCTCCTCCTCCTCCTCCTCTCCTCCTCCTCATCCTCCTCCTACCTCCTTCCCTCCCTCCTCCTCCTCCCTCCTCCTCTCCTCCTCCTCCTCCTCCTCCGGGGACGCAGGGAGACGCCTCGGGGCGATGTGCCAACCACTGGGGAGGTCCGGGGGTGCAAGACTCTCCTCCTCCCTCCTCCCTCCTCCCTCCTCCTCCTCCTCCCTCCTCCCTCCCTCGTCCTCCCTCCCTCGTCCTTCCCTCCTCCTCCTCCTCCTCCTCCTCCTCCTCCTCCTCCTCCTCCTTCCTCCTCTCCTCCTCCTCCTCCTCCTCCTTCTCCTCCCCTCCTCTCCTCCTCCTCCTCCCCCTCCCCCCCCCCCCCCCTCCCCCCCCCCTCCTCCCCTCTCCTCCTCCTCCTCCTCCTCCTCCTCCTCCTCCTCCTCCTCCTCCTCCTCCTTCTCCTGCTCGCAGGGAGACGCCTCGGGGTGATGTGCCAACCCCCGGGGAGGTCCCGGGGTGCAATACTCATTTCCCCCTCAAGCCAAGAGCGGGTTTCTTTATTGCTTGGGGCACAGGGGCATTATAGCCCCCGGCCCCCCCCTCCCCCCACAACGTAACGCCCCTCCCCACCCAGTGCGCTCTGGGCACTGCCGCCGTGCGCACGGCGGGGGGGAGGCGTTACATTATACCCCCCTCCTTGGCCCCGCCCCCCCTATAATGCCCATTATCGCCGAAAATAAAGAAACGCGCTCGAAGGTGAAGAAGAAGGGTGTGAAGGTCGTCAAGCAGTTGAACGACAGGGAGATCCCGTGGAACTTGTTCATGCCGAAGGCGCCGTACCAGGGCACCGTGATCAAGAACGACGTGCAGGCACACACCATCACCAAGCCCAACAGCGACTCCCCTGGTGATGCCAACTGGGAGACGACGCACGTGACCTTCGACCACGGGGGCAAGGTGCCCTACGTCGAGGGACAGTCCATCGGGGTCATCGCGCCTGGCCCCGACAAGAAGGGCGAGACCCCAGCCAAAATACGCCTCTACTCGATCGGCTCCTCGGCGGTCGGCGACTGCCAGGACTCCAAGACGGTCTCCCTCTGCGTCAAGCGCGTCGTCGAGGTGGAGGAGGAGAAGTGGCCCCTCAAGCACTCCAACCGCGAGGTCGGCGAGGACAAGCCCGACAAGGCGGGCACCTGCTTCCCCGACGCCAAAGTCTACCGTGGCGTGTGCTCGAACCACATCTGCGACATGAGCGAGGGCGACGAGGTGCTCATCACGGGCCCGACGGGCGCCGAGATGCTCCTGCCGGACGAGCAGGACTGCAACATCATCATGCTCGCGACGGGCACCGGCATCGCGCCGATGCGATCCTACATGCGCCTGCTCTTCCACGACAAGGTCGGCGCCAACCCCGACGGGTCCCGCAAGTTCTCGGGCCTGGCGTGGCTCTTCCTCGGCGTCCCCTACTCCAACTCTCTGCTTTACGTGGATGAGCACGACGAATACTTGAAGCAGTACCCCGACAACTTCCGAGTCGACTACGCCGTCTCCCGCGAGCAGACGAACGCAGAGGGCAAGAAGATGTACATCCAGACCAAGATGGGAGAGTACGCAGAGGAGCTGTGGGAGTTGATGCAGTCTCCAAAGACTCACATCTACATGTGCGGCCTGAAGGGCATGGAGTCAGGCATGGAAGAGTGCTTCTCGCCCTTGGCGGAGAAGGCAGGCGTCGACTGGAAGGAGTTCGCAAAGGAGATGAAGAAGGCCCACCGCTACCACGTGGAGGTCTACTGAGGATGCACATCTGGCGAAGCTTACTTGAGCGTGCCGATGGGGCAACGTCCCGTCGATTTGCGGAGCGATGAGCTTTAGACCGAGTTTTACAGTAGTGTTCTTGGGCAGATCGATGCGGCAGCCCGCATGAGCTCTAAGATACTAAAGTCAGTATTGACCGACGCCTCGTAAGGCTGTGCTTGATTGAGATTCGTCATCTCTACAGCGAGGCCGAAGAGTTGTAAGAGGGAACAGTCGAAGCGCCTCGCGCTCATCGGCAGAACCCTTACGCATTTTTCATCGCAGCGCCGCTATGCTGGTGTCTTACACCTGTGCTGACTTACTGTGTACCGGTTTGATGTTGTGTTTGATGGCGTCAGCAGTGCGATACTCACATTTAGAAACATAATATTCATCACAATGCTCCTCTTCCGTAGACGGGCGAACGGCGATGTAGGTTTTGGTGTTGTGGGAACGCGTGGCTCGCGTTTTCCTAAAATTCGCTGTGTCGTGTTCGCTCGATCCTTTTGCACATTGGAAATGTAGGAAAGTGTGGTTCGTGACTTCCTACACCTTGGTTCCCAACATCAGAGTTAGGCAACGTTGCCGTTAGCCCGGCCTTTGTCTCTCGCATCTTGGGTTTAGGGAGGGGGGGGCTTGGTCGCCACGGCGGGAAGCGGCTCGGATAATGATCCAGGACGACCACCCGCAGAGGTTTGGGTTCTGGAACTGGTTCTGAACGTATGTCCGGCTGGCCCACAGTCGAGGGAGGAAAAAACGCCCCGACCCCGATAGCTGGCGTGTGCTACTCTGTGTCCCTCAATAGTTCTGGGGGTACCTGTAGTCCGAGGGGGTACCTATATTCCGGGGGGGGGTACTTGTAGTCCGGGGGGGTGGTACCTGTAGTCTGGGGGGGGGGGTATTTGTAGTCCGGGGGGAAGTACCTGTAGTCCGGAGGGGGGTGCCTGTAGTCCCGGGGGGGCGCGCATGGGGGTACTTGTAGTCCGGGGGGGGGGGGCATATGGTCATGCCTCAAAGCACGCGTGGTTCCATTTTGGCGGGCCGCTTTGGCTTCCAGAGACTACGTAGCGAATGCGGGGGGGGCTTGTAGCTCCGGGGGCTAGGGGGGTACCTGTAGTCCGGGGGGGGGTACCTGTAGTCCCGGGGGGGGTACTTGTAGTCCGGGGGGCGGTACCTGTAGTCCGGGGGGGGGGGACCTGTAGTCCGGGGGATGGGGTACTTGTAGTCCGGGGGGTACCTGTAGTCCGGGGCCCCAAAATTATTGAGGGACACAGAGTAAGCGGCCTTGGACGTTTACTGAACAGCCCTGCCCTGTTCGGTTCCTTCCCTGGGTGCGTTTACTACATGGCTTCGCTTGTCGGGGTGCTTATTATGGGGGCTGGATTGTCTGCTCTCTACAGAGGCTCCTCAAGTCCGCCTCCCCATCCTCCGAGGAGGAGGCAGCAGTGGAGGAGGAAAGAGGAGCAGGAGGCGCAGGCGGAGAAGGAATGACGACGACCACGACGACGACGACGACGACGACGACGACTGCCCTCTAAAGAAACAACTGCATAAACAGAAACTGGTGGCGCTCCGCGCGGATTTCTTGGATCTGCGCTAGGGCCCCCCTGGCGGCGCCTCCGGCGCCGCCCCTGGCGCTCTCCGCACGCCAGGGAGGGGGGTCCGGCGCGGACCAAGACGCGGATCCAAGAAATCCGCGCGGAGCGCCAACAGTTTATGTGTATGCAGTTTGTCTTCTCATGATTATTCCTCTCATTATTATGTTTCTTCTCCTTCGTCGTCTTCTTCTATCAACGAAGTGACGTTTCCTCCAGAAAGTGGCGACCTCCCTGCGTGGCGCCCACCCCCCCGTGGCGCTGCCCGTGGACACGGGCCGCCCCGTGTCCCGAGGTCTCCCCTGCCGCTGCCACCCCCCCCCCTGGGCTCCCGACGCCATCCCCCAGGGGCTCCCCGGCGTGGCGCCCCGAGGTCTCCGCCCCACCGCTGCCCCCCGAGGGCTCCCCCGGACGTGGCGCCCCGAGGCGCCGTCCCCGAAGCGACCCGCAGGCACAGCCAGCGGGCCCCCGACGGCATCGGGACGGGGGGCGGCAGTGGGGGGGGGAGGAGGAGGAGGAGGAGGAGGAGGAGGAGGAGGAGGAGGATGGAGGAGGAGGAGGAGGAGGAGGAGGAGGAGGAGGAGGAGGAGGAGGAGGAGGAGGAGAGGAGGAGGAGGGAGGGGGAGGGGGAGGGGGAGGAGGAAGAGGAGGGCTTCCTGCAGGATCTTGCAGGATCCTGCAACGCCTGACTGACTCGGGTGCGCACTGATCCGGGTCAGTGCGTCCCCGAGGGATCCTTGGGCACCCCGCGCTGAGCAGAAGTCTGGGCTTCTGATGTTCCAGCCTACTTTCCGCCTCGACCACCAGAAAGAATTTCGAGCACCTCGAAAGTGCCGAAATGGAGGGGTCTTCACGTGCCGGGCCGTGGGAGGCGATGCTCGTTCGACACTGTTTCGATGTTTGTCTGGGCGCTCGGGATCAATTCTGAGATGTGGTCCTTCAGTACGATGGGAGCGACATAAGTCTGGGCTTAAGTCGGGCCTGTCCCTCTACAGGGAGAATATTCAAAAATAGTCAGAGCTTGCCTCTGTAGGGGTCCTAGCGGATTCACATGGTTAAGTCAGGTTTGCGGCCGATTTTCGCCGCACGCCCCGGTGCCCGGGTGCCCAGGGGTGCCTGGGGGTGCCCAGGGGTGCCCGGGGGTGCCCGGGTGCCCGGGGGTGCCCGGAGGTGCCCAGGGGTGCCCAGAGGTGCCCCGGGGTGCCCGGGTGCCCCGGGGTACCCGGGTGCTCTATCGCCCTATCTAGCCCAGCTCTATAGCCCTATCGATTTATAGACCTATAGACCTACAGCCCTATAGCCCTATAGCCCTATAGCCCTAATAGCCCTATAGCCCTATAGTCCTTATGCCCCATAGCCCAAACGCCCTATAGCCCTATAACCCTACCTATACGACCACCCTTCGGGTGATAAGGAGGTTCGGGGGGGAGGAACCAACGTCTCACTCGATCGGTCTCACTATCGATCTTACTATCGATCTCACTATCGGTCTCGCTCGCTCGATCTCACTCGATCTCACGCGATCGATCTCACAATCGATATCACTCGATCTATGTCATTCGATCGATCTCACAATCGATATCACAATCGATCTCACGATCGATCGCACTATCGATCTCATTTTTCTCACACTCGGTCTCACTCTCGATATCACTATCACACCATCATCACCATCACCGCATCATCAACATCATCATCATCACCATCATCATCATCGGGACACCATCATCGTCACCATCATCATCAACATCATCATCATCGGGACACCAGCATCAGCATCATCATCGGAGCACCACAACCTTCATCATAATCGTCTCATCATTATCATGAACAACATCGTCAACAGCATCATCATCATCATCGGGACACCATCATCATCAGCAGCATCATCATCAACATCATCATCGGGACACCATCATCATCGTTACCATCAACATCATCATCATCATCATCATCATCATCATCATTATCATCATCGGGACACCATCATCATCAACATCATAATCGTAATCAGTACCGGGCTACCATCAGCATCACCATCACCTCATCATCATCATCAGCGAGCATCATCAACATCATCATCAACATCACCATCATCGGGACACCAGCATCATCACCATCATCATCATCAACAGCATCATCTTCAACCTCATCATCATCGTCATCGGGACACCATCATCATCTTCACCATCATCTCATCATTTGAGCATCATCAACTTTATCATGATCATGAACAACATCATCATCGGGACACCCTTATCATCTTCAGCAGCAGCAGCAGAATCAACATCATCATCATCAGGACAACATCATGATCATCACCACCATGGCCATCATCATCATCATCATCATCATCATCACCATCACCATCACCATCACCATCACCATCACCACCATCATCGGGGCACCATCATCGTCACTAGCATCATCAACATCATCATCATCATCATAGGGACCCCATCATCATCATCATCGTCATCATCATCGGAACACCACCATCATCATGACCATCATCATCCCATCACCACGAACAACATCAACATCATCGGGACACTATCATCATCAGGAACATTATCATCAACATCAGCATCATTGGGGCACCATCATCCTCGTCACCATCATCATCACCATCATCATCATCATGGGGACACCATCATCAAAATCATCATCATCACCTCATCATCATCCTCATCCACATCATCATCGGGCCACCATCTTGCTCACCATCATCATCAACAACATCATCATCAACCTCACCATCATCATCGGGACACCATCATCCTCATCATCCTCACCATCATCATCTCATCATCTCATCATCATCAACAGCATCAGGATCATCAACATCATCGTCATCATCATCGGGGCACCGTCATCATCATCAGCAACATCAGCATTATCAACATCAGCATCATCGGGACACCACCATCATCACCACCATGGCCATCATCATTATCATCATCACCATCACCACCATCATCGGGGCACCATCATCGTCACTAGCATCATCAACATCATCATCATAGGGACCCCATCATCATCATCGTCATCATCATCGGAACACCATCATCATGACCATCAGCATCCCATCATCACGAACAACATCATCATCATCGGGACACCATCATCATCAGCAACAGTATCATCAACACCATCATCATCGGGACATCATCATCATCGTCACCATCATCATCACCATCATCATCATCGGGACACCATCATCATCATCATCATCATCAACACCAGCATCATCATCACCATCGGGCCACCACCATCAAAATCATCATCATCACCTCATCATCATCCTCATCAGCATCAGCATCGGGACACCATCATCATCATCATCATCATGAACAACATCATCATCAACCTCGTCATCACCATCGGGACACAATCATCATCATCATCTCCACCATCATCATCTCATCATCTTATCATCATCAACAGCATCAGGATCATCAACATCATCGTCATCATCATCGGCGCACCGTCATCATCATCAGCAACATCAGCATCATCGACATCAGCATCATCGGGACACCATCATCATCACCACCATGGCCATCATCATCATCATCATCATCATCATCATCAACATCAACATCAACATCAACATCAACATCAACATCAACATCGTCATCATCATCTTCATCATCATCGGGACACGGACGGGACACCAGCGGGACACCAGCGGGACACCGCGCGGCACCGGTTGCCGGAAGGGAGACTTTTGGTCCGGCCGTGCCTCAGCCAGAGGCGGGACATTTCTCGCCCGCCCACGCAGCTTCGCCTCGCCCGCACGCACGCCACGCACGAACACGAAACCGAAACCGATTTCCCGGTAGGGGGGCTCTCCGTTCCACTTCGATCTCACCCCCTCACCTCCGATAGCCCTTATGGGCCTATAGCCCTATAGCCTTATTGCCTTGTAGCCCTGTAGCCCTATGTTCATATAGCCCTATAGCCCAACAGTCCTGTAGCC